TATACATATTTTAATAATTCTTAGAGCATACTTTCTACAAATTAACTTGCGAAGCATATTTGAAATTTTCATTCAAGTAGAATTGAATGAAAATTTCAATATTTTTCCCACAATTGTTATAAATTGCTTCAATATCATTAAAAAATGTATAAGAAAAATTTAAACGTTTAAAGGTTATAATTGACGTAAGATATTTGACTTTTCACTCAGTCCATAGGCGTCCACGAAAAAAATTCTGGGGGCAGACAACCCGAAAAGCGCCGTCTTTAAAGTGTTAATTAACGTACCTTAATGTAAACCATCTTCTGTCTGCAGATTGGTCTGTTGTCCCTCTGGAGCTGAAGAGTATCGTTCATGGTGAACTTGTTTTCGCTGTCGATGAAGAACATGCGAGTGTCTTTCGTCTTCTTGGCGTCAAGCACGTACTGCACGTCCAGATCTTGAATGCAAGTTTTAGTTATAGTGTTTGTAATGGATTTAATTTAATTTAAATTGTCTTACTTATGTTGTGGGGAACTCCGAGACCGGTGTAGTTGAAGCAGATGTCGATGTTGGTGCAGGGAACGCGATGCCCGTTGATCAGAGTGCAGTTCTTCTCGTCGAGGATGATCTGCTTGTTGGAGGCGAGGAATTGCACGAAGGCGTTCACTTTGACGACAGGACGAGAGCGGAAGAAGTAAGCGGAATTGGAAAGGTACGCTCCGACTGCCATGTCCGGGTAATCGTTGTGATCGAGATCGATGCCGCCGGCAACGGAAAAGCCGAACGTGGACATCGGTGCGCTTCCAGGATCAGCAACGTCTTCGGAGAAGATCACTTGCGAATGCTTGGGGTTCACGCCGTCTTTGGAGCCGTGGTAGATGTAAACGGCGCCGCGTTCGTGCGGACCATCGTACGGAGCACCCACCACGAAATCGCCGTACCCATCCAGATTGATGTCGCCCAAGGAGGCAACGGACAGACCGAACCTCGACTTGGAATTGATTCCGTCTAAAGTCTTGAATTTCCTGAATCTCTGCTTCCGATCTTCGCCCTGGTAGATGACGTAAACGCGACCGACTTCGTATTTACCCTCGTTGTTCGGTTCGGTGTGAAGAGGCGCTCCGATGATCAGATCGTCCGTCCGATCGCCGTCCACGTCGCAAACCGCTATCGAATATCCAAAGTAAGAGCCCAGCTGCGTCCCGGTGATGTTCTGATGATTCGTTAGATTCCACGTGAAGAGCACCACTTTGCCCAAGAGTCCCGCACCACGGGGCATCCCAGCGGCGACTCCCTGTTCACCGTCACCGGTGAAATCGCCCACCGCAATCGAGTAACCCATGTACGAGTTGTCGTCCTTCTCGATGCCCTCTTTCGTCGACAACACCGCAGGTCTCGTCGACAAACTCTGCTGCACCACTTGACCTACGAAACACACGACAATCAAAGATGAAAAAAAAAGAAAAGAAATCATCCGCTTGAACAAACAAAATTTGGTAAAGAAAGCGCACGAAACCATAAGCCGGCTAAAAGATGAGAGCGAAACGCCTACTGCAATAAAGCTAAACTAAAATAAGAAGCAATAGTCAAATTACAATTAAAGGAAATTAACGAAATTAAATTTCTACTACTGCTACAGCTTGATTATCCAAAATCTCAATGCGTTGCTCTCATCATCAAATAGTCACTATGGTTACCTTTGTAAATCGCCCTACAGCGAACCAACGCCACTTCGGTTGTTATAGCAACGACAACAACGGATTGGTTGGAGGGAAGGAAGTAATGGCGTAACAGTATTAATCACCGCCACAAACACACACACAAAAAAAAATTATTATAAATTTATTAATTAATACGATTAATCGTTTTTATCTAAGTGGCGTGGAAAAAGCGAAAAGAAAATAAGTAAATTCACATGAAAGAAAATGTAATACAAAAATATGTGGATTATTAATATGTGCGTTGATGATGTTGTTGTTGTTGTACAATGTTTGATCTCCATGACTACTACAAACTTACTTAATCACTTTAGTTGTTTACATGACAACCAACTGTAATTGTTGTTTTTTCTTTGAAACAAACTATCGAATTAACTATAATAATTGTTATGAAGGGCATCTGTATTTCGAAATGGAGAAAGAGAAAAAGAGTGAAAGATCAAATCTGCGTTTCACTTTGAAAGCACTGATGATGATGATGATGACTCGCAGTAAAAATTCTGTTGCTGTTAAATGGATCGATCCTGCGTGTAATTAAGATATGCTCTCCGGCCACGAATTGATAAGTATCGAAAAAAAGAAGCGGGATGACGCACGGATTGCGTAAGAAAGAGTGTGTCAGAGACCCATAAATAATAACAGTAGGCCCAGATGGAAAGAAACAAAAACGAGATCAATAAAAAAAAAACAAAATAGAATCTGAGAAGAGGACTAGATGATGATAAAATGGTCTCTTTTATCAATCGGATGGGAATCGTTATTAACGTTATAGGAGGAATGCTTTTAAGTTTTCTCGAATACTTTGGATGGATGGACCAGATTTTATCGCTCCCTTTTATAGATTGAGCAATAATAATGTAGATTGTATTAATTGCGAATTAATCTCCATGATGATTGTAATGATGATGATTGAAAAATTATTTAATTAGAACTTTGTATAGTATTAGCACATTTCGTAAGACATTAACCCAAATCTTAGACTTAAACTTTGGGTTAATGAACTTCACGAAATGTATCAAGAAAAAAAAATAAAAACTATTAGCGAATTAATTGAACACAAAATAAATAAACTAAACAGAAGCAAAATTAGTCGTGTTGGTGTTTGTCTAAACAAAACAAAAACTAGCTTTTGCTCTGAAATTTTGTTGTTCTTTTGTTTGTTTATAAGTTTGTTGTTGTTTTTTGTGCAGCAGCAGCAGCGATTGTGGTAGTACTTGTGAATTTTTGTTTTTTTTTTAGTTCAATTATTTTTAAAATTGTTTGTTTGTTTTTTAGTCATTTGTTTGTACCTGAGCCGAAGGCTCCGCCGAATTTTCCCGGCGTATACGGAAAACTAGCTTGCGCATCAATCGAATTCACCTGTCCTGAAAATATACATATATATATAAAATGAGAGAGAGAGAGATCATATCAACATCGAAAGTCCACTCATTAGTTTCCCTATTTTGATAATACACACTAAGTGCATTTAGTATCCTATATAAATAGAATCGAATGTGTGTGAAAAATTAGTTACAGTTACCTTGCCAATACCATGCGCCTGGATTTCCAGAGAATAGACGTTCTCCATCCTGGAATAAACAAAAAACAAATAATTATAGAATCATCAAGTGTGCTGTGTAATTAAAAATTTAATTGATTGTTTGTTCGAAGCAAGCTTTGACATTTCACTTGTTTGACTCGAAGGGATTGTCAATAATAATTCTATTCGATGAACTTGCTTTTCATTAGCATTTTCATGATACATTCAATTAAACGTATTCATTTATATACAAATTTTATTAATTATAAATTAATTTTTATCCCTAATTATTATTATTATTAATGTCATTATGATTTTCAATTAAACCACAAGAGGGAGCGTTATCAAATAATTTATTTGAATCTAATCAGTTGGTATCAACTGGTCGCAGAGGGGGAAGCTGAGTCGCGTTTCGCTTGTCGATGCGTCGGCGTCCTCTCTCCAGTCATCTCCGGTTTTAAAAGTTCGAAATTGTTGTGCAACTAGGTTTAAATCCAATGAATTGCGGTGCGTTTAGCGAAAACCATCAACGGAGATCACAACCCGCATTAGATTTAGCGGCTATTAAAGGTTAGTGATTAATCTGATACTAAAGAAAAAAAAATATTCGTATTGCATTGAAACTCACCCAATTTGTTCGCTAATCGATTGCGTAGCTTGTGTTAAAATGTGCGTTTTCCATTATAATTAGTAATTGAGATATTCGCGTTAATTAATTAGAAATTTTGACTCTTGCAAAATGGCGAACCGACGCTTACCCTCTACTTTCTTTTGTTTAATTGTTACCAATGCATTTTTATTGCAAAAAAAAATGGACGATCCAGGTATCTGTTGGTACGATCGTGGCGTCTCTATGACGTTGTTGTGCGCGTCCTTTTGTTTAGTCAACATGATTCCAATTAGATATGCGCGATAATTACTGAAATTTCGGGACTTTCTCATTAGTTTTCAGTGGGAATTGAAAAGCCGCGGTCCCGAACCGTAACCATGGACGACGATGCCAATCAATTGTGAGCAATTCAAAACTTTATTTCTTCCTTTGTTTTTTTCTACAGCTGTACTCAATTTGTTCGGACAGTTGTTTTATAACTATCTATATCATTAAGTGTGTCTGCTAATATGTGATGTAAATTAATACCAAATCAGACTCGAAGGAATTATCAATGTTCTATAATAGACTAATCGATTGGTTGTGAGTCACAAATGAAATGCATGCATTGTTCCAGCTCGAAGGATGAGTTAATATGAAGCATTTCTTCCAGTGCAAACTAATCAATTGGTTTATAAGTGATTTGATATTCTTTTCGATGAACTTCTTTCCATGTGATCAATCAATTAACATTTCCTATAGGAAATACTAATCGAACACACATATTGGCATTAGCTCATTGATTCATAGTCATCTTATTGGAAATTAAATTTTTGTCATATTGGCGCAAATGTATTTATCAATTGATCCACAAGAGGGAGTTTTGATATTAACAAAATTTTATAACTTAAATATGAGTTGGTATCACCAACTGCGGCTGCGTCGGTGCGCGGAGAGGGACGCTCAGTCTTGGTCTGGTCTTCTGAGTCGACGTACTTTTCGGGTTTAAAAGTTCAAAATTGTTGTGCAACTGATTTAAATCCAATAAATTTGCGTGCGTTTTGCGAAAACCATCAATGGAGATCACACAATCCCATCAGATTTAGCGACTATTAAAGGTTAGTGATGAATTTTGATACGAAACAAAACAAAAATATTCGCATTGCATTGAAAATCTCCCAATTTGTTCGCAAATCGATTGCGTAGCTTGTGTTAAAATGTGCGTTTTCCATTATAATTAGTAATTGAGATATTCGCGTTAGTTAATTAGAAATTACGATTCTAACAAAATGGCGGACCGACGCTTTCCTCTCGCCATTTTCTATTGTTTAATCTTAATACCAACTATGCATTTTTATTGCAAAAAAAAAAATTGATGCACCTGGCACCGGGTGGTACCATTGTGGCGTCTTCACGCCACAGTTTTGCACGTCCCTTTGTTAAGTCAACATCGTTCCAATTAGAAGCTCACGATAATTGCTGAAATTTCGGGGCTTTCTCATTAGTTTTCAGTGGAAATTGAAGAGCCGCACTGCCGAACTGTAACGAGAGACGACGATGCCGATAAATCGTGAGTGATTCAAAATTTCATTTAATTTTTTTTATACATATTATTTATATGGATGCAAGGTATTGAAAATACTAGGTCATTCTATGCGTTTATCACGTTCGCAGTGATTCGCATGGAATGGCAAGACCGTCTGTGTTAAAACCTTCTCGAGGTGCATCCGTTTAGGTCGTTGCTCGTATCCGAAATATACGAGCAATCACCGACAGATCACAGCAGATCTAGGGGCTCGCGTTTTCCCCGAAATTTCATTCTTTTGCATCGCGACAGGTGTCGTTAAGAGTTAAGTCTTGGCCATTAGCCGATTCTTAGTCTTACATTCTGATTTACAGTGTTTGTTCGTTATTTTGAAAACAAGTTTAAGGCTTCGGCTTTTGTTCTTCAACCGTGATTTAGTTTAAAATTTTAATTATTATTCGGATCACGGGAATATTAATTTCCGGGAACTTTGTGCGTATTTTTTGCTAAATTTCGCGAGTGTTCGTGAGTGCCAACCAGATGAGATGGATGGAGATGTGCAGAGATGCAGTTGGTGTTGAAGACATCAAGTAGTGAGTGATTTTATACCACACGGGATTCAACAACAATCAGCCCTCCTCACTTAACTTAAAAATATTTTTCATAACTTCAATTATTACTGCGTTTATTCAAAATTGTTATTCAAAATTGTTAATTACTTTTGCTACTTTTTCTTAAATGCTTTTCAGGTTTTCATAATTTCAATTATTTCTACGCCTGTTCATAATTATTAATTCATTTTGCATCTTTTTCTTAAATTCAATTCAATTATTTTTCAGGCATTTTTAAATTAATGCGCCAATTCAAAATTACTAATTTAATTAATTGATTCCCTTTGTTCTTGTCCGTATTTCCGTTTTATTAATATGTTTTAGTTTAGGTTGCATTAAATTACTATTGATTTGGAGAAGATCTCAATTTAATTTCAATTACTTTAATTGATTATATTTTAATTTAAATTTTTTAGTTATTTTGAATATGATTATGTTTTCTCTTTTTCGTAATGATAATAATTTTATTAATTTGATTTTGGTTCTATATATATGTATAATTTATATTGAAGTTGTAATGGCTTCAATATACTTTACTCGTTGTAGACTGGATGGTAATTACTTAATTATAATTATTACATAATTACCCAAAAGTAACAAAAGTTTAAACGTAGCAGATTATTACAATCTGCATTTTTTTTTTAAATTTTACTTCTTTGCTATTTTGATATTTAATATATTACAGTTCAGGAAATTCTGTAACAAAGGGTTGGCCACCCTTAAGCAAATTCGTTTTTCTTTCAGTTTTTTTTGGAAAGTTTCTTATATTTCCAAAATCTGAATATTGTATGTTAGTGTGTGTTGTTTTGGTTTGAATGAAAGCGAGCTCGCAATTGTTTATGTGTGTTTGAATGTATGAGCAAAAGTGTTTCGATTTGTGTTTGATTTTAAATGAATTAAATGAATGTTGGTGTGTTGAGTTTTCTATAGATTTAAAAAAAAATGTTAAGTCTTTAACATTTTCAATTTGTTAGGTGCTTGAATAGAGTTCTTGAACTGTAATAAATTATTTTCGATTTCAATTATTAATTAAACATTTGTTATTTCCTACATCTCCCCTTTTATTATTATTATTTTTAAATACAAAACACATTCAAATTTATTTTCAATTATTTATAATTTTGATAATGATGGAAATTATCATTTTATTTCAAA